TCTAATAATTATTTCGATTTCAAAAGAAATATATCGTCATCATCATACAATACATATTATTTTTGCCAAAATATTTTTTTGAATACAAAATATTTATTTTAAACTCAAAAAATATATTTACTTCAATTTACCCAATATAAATGCTTTATGTATATTGTCAAAAAATACATATTAATTAAATAATCATATAATAAGATGAAAGTTTATTATCATCATAATAAATTTCATTTGAATACAATAATGATTAAGAGGAAGAAATTCTAAAGGATAATAATTTATTTGATTTTCATCATTTTTCATTGAAATGTTCAACACAAAATAGGATCGATGTTTAAATAAAATACAAGATACCAATCTGACTGCAATTAACTGAATTAAATAAAAGAAATATGGATATGGTAAAAAAGGAATATAGAAATGAATTGACTTTTGAATAAGCAAAAACTTACTTGGATTCATTAAAGATGAATGATTCGTAAAAGAAATAGGGTAGAGTCTCAAAAAATAGACTCAATAAGGATCAAAAGTGGCTGATAAAAGAAAATGCTGTTTTAATAAGAAAATTAACTCAAAATAAATACACAAAAGAGTATATCTCAGGATTAACAGGATTTTCAAAAAGTTAGATTTACTATTGATTGGTTAAGATAATATATTTAAGAATAGGATGTAAATGAATTATGGAACTCAAAAACTATTTATGAATAGTTTAGGATACATTTTTAGTTAGGATATGATTTTGTTTCTCTGATGACCTTTTAGAAATATTTAAGAATAAGTGGGGCTAGTTTTCGTCAAGTCAAAATCAGAAGGAAAGGATATTTCAAAATTAATCGGGAAAGCAAGTTTTTAAATTATTATCTATCATCACTTTCAATAATGAAATAAAAATTTTCATAGTTGTTTTTAGAGGAAACCACATTTACTCATCATTCTATAAAACCAAAGAGTTGGTGACTTAAAGGGGAGAGAAAATATAGATGAATATCACAAATGTAGAAATCCCATCTTATTGGTTGGATAGGGTAAAATGGTTTTCGCTGTTTTTAAATTTGTAAAGGAATAGTTAATTAATACATTTTTGCTTAATTTTTAGAATAAATGCTGAAAGCTGCATAAATATTTTATTAAAATAAGCCATATGTATTAATTATGGATAATTGCCCTATTCATAAAAGCAAAATTATATATGAACATTTTCTAAGAAAAATTAATTTTTTATTTCTTCCTCCATATTGTCCTGAATTAAATCCGAATTAAATCCGATTGAGGGTGTTTGCTAATAATTATAAAATTCTATTTATAAATAATAGCCGAATTTGTATTTCACAAAAAAATACATAATTACTTAAAAATTTATAACTAAGCAAGAATAGAAAGTTTAATTAAACAAAAGTTTTTTGAAATGGAATTAAGCTTGATTATATAACAATTTAAAAGTAATAAAGCAATATAAATTTTCATCATAAATGTAATTTGATATTAGTGTTGATGGTACATAGGCAAATAAATGAGTTTCGAAGCCAATAAATAATAAAATAGAATATCTAGCATCAGAATGATATCAAACATATCAATTTTATACAATTTCTAAATAATTGTGGGAAATTTCCACTTTTAATCTCAGATAATTTAGAGCGAATTGCTTTGCTTATTTATTTACTATTTGAGTTTGATATTGTTAT